CTCTCTCTCTCTCTCTCTCTCTCTCTCTCTCTCTCTCTCTCTCTCTCTCTCTCTCTCTCTCTCTCTGTGTGTGTGTGTGTGTGTGTGTGTGCCCCCCCCCCTTCCCCCCCCAAATCCAGAGCGCGCGCGTGTTGCACAGTATACGGATCTCCCTCTTCGCGAGGATCCCAGGTTCCGACTCCCCTCCATCTCCTGCCCTGCAGCCTCCTCATCCTCGCATGGGAGCCGCTGTGCGATTTTTGTTTTCACCTCGTGATTCTTGCCGACGTCACCCTCCTCCTCCTCCTCTTACTCCTCCCTCCTCGTTCCTCCTCCCTCCTCCGCTCTCCTCCTGTCGTGGCGAGCCCCCTTTCTCGTCCTCGTCATCCAGCTCTCTCCTCCTCCTCTCCCCTCGTCCTCCTGCCTCCTCGTTTCTCCTCCCCCCTCCTCCTCTTCCTCCTCCTCCCCCCTCCTTTCTCCTCCTTTTGCCTCCCGTCATATGCCACGTGGCACACGGGCACGCGTTTTTTTTGCGTTATTGTTCTTCTCCTAATCATCATCCTCCCTCCTATTCATTCTCCTTCCTGCTCCTCCCTCCTACTCATCCTCCTTCCTGCTCCTCCCTCCTCCTTCGTCCTGCTCCACCTTCCTCTTGCCTCCTCTCCTCTCCTCTCTCCTTCCTTCGCGTGCCACGTGGCACACCGGCACGCGATTGTGATTTTTTTTCATTTTCTTCCCGTCGTCGTCATTCAACCCTGGCTTCCTCCTTCCTCCTCCCCTCCCCTCGCCCTCCTTCCTTCCTCCCTCCTCCCTCCTCCTTTCTCCTCCCGTCATGAGCCACATGGCACAACAGCACGCACTTGTTTTTGTTATTGGTCTCGTCCTCATCATCATCCTCCCTCCTACTCATCCTCCTCCTTTCTCCTCGTCTCTACTCATCGATTGAAACACAGACCCAACCGACGTGCGTAGCTCAGACGTGAGCTCGAATGCAGAGACAGGAGTAACTGAATGATATCTCTAGATCACCTTGGGGCCTTTCAGTTCTACAATGATATCTCAAGGCCGTCACCCATCACAAAAAAATGAAAAGACTAATTCTTTTAATTAAAAAAAAAAAAAAAATGAAAAGAGAGGAATACAGATCCAAGTTCGAATCCAGCTTACCGAAAAAAAAACAAAAAAGGAACACACCAAGGAGGGCATGATTCGCCTCCCTCGCTCCCTCCCTCGATCCCTTCTTTCTCCTCGTCTCTCTCCCCTTCCTCCTCCTTCCTCCTCCTTCCTCCTCTGTGGCACACGACCTTTTGTTTTCATCTTGTGATTCTTATCATCCTCCCCCTCCTCCCTCCTCTCTCCTCCTGTCGTAACACGCCATGTTTTTGCTTCTTGTCCTGATCATCCACCTACCTCCTGTCGTAACACGCCATGTTTTTGCTTCTTGTCCTGATCATCCACCTACCTCCTCCTCTTTTTTCCTCCTCGTCTCCCCTCGCCCTCCTCCCTCCTCCTTTCTACTCCCTCCTCCTCGTCCTCGTCTCCCCTCCATCCTTTCGCCTCCTGTAATGTGCCACGTGGCACATCGGCATGCATATTTTTTCTGTTATTTTCTCGTCCCCATCATCATCTTCCCACCTTCCTTCTTCACTCATAATTCTCTCTCCTCCTCCCTCCTCGTTCCTCCTCTTCCTCCGCCTCCTCCCTCCCCCTCCGTCCTATCTCCTGCCGTCGTGTGCCATGTGACACGCCGGCAGATGTTGCCCAAGAAGTGGAATTGCATATTAGATCTCAGAAACGAGCCTCCTCCTCCTCATCCTCCATCCTACTCATCCTCCTCCTCCCCACTCGTCTACACTCATCTACTACAGACTCAACCGACGGGCGAAGCTCGGTCGGTACACCAATGGACTGTTGAGATGCAGACGTGAGCTCCAATCCAGACAGCTGTCAATGAATGGAATTTTGAATTGCCTGGGCCAGTCAGTTCGAGAATGATACCTCACGGCCGTCGCCCTTTACGTAAGAAGAAAAAGGAACACACACCCAAGTTTAGAATCCCGACTGCAACAAAAAAAAGGAACACAGCACACACACATTCGCCTCCCACCCTCCGTCCCTCCCTCTTCCCTCCTCTTGTCGTCCTCCTCCTCCTCCTCCTCCTCCTCCTTCCTCCTTCCTCCTTCCTCCCTCCTCCTGTCGTGGCATGCCATATTTTTTCTCGTCCTCAGCATCCACTCCCTCCTCCTCCTTCCTCCTCCTCTCCCCTCGTCCTCACTCCGCACTCCTCCCCCGTCCTTTCTCCTCCCTTCTCCTACCTCCTTTCATCTCCCTTCGCATGACGCTTCCGGACTCTCTCTCTCTCTCTCTCTCTCTCTCTCTCTCTCTCTCTCTCTCTCTCTCTCTCTCTCTCTCTCTCTCTCTCTCTTTGCGCATACTCGCCTGCAGCGAAAAACCTGCCTTCCTCTCTCTTCTATCTCCCTCGGTTCTGCCAACCATGCATGCAGTTGGATATGAAATCAGACTACATACGGTGAAAGATAAAAACATACGTTCTTCCTCATCGTTTCCCGTTCTCTCCTTCCCTCTTCCCTCCTTCTGCTACATCGCCCCCTCCCCCTCGCACCCCCAACCCCAGTAATCAAATCATGACCTCAATCAAGACAGGTGTATCGCTCCCTGCCCACTCACCTGCAATGTCGCTCCAGCTCCAGCTCTGGCTCCCTCCTCTGACTCCCTCCCTCCTGTCCTCCTTCTCTGTCTGCTCCTCTCTCACTTCACCACCCAGCCTCTTTCACGTCCCTTCGCATGACGCTTTCCGATAGCCTGCATCTCTCTCTCTCTCTCTCTCTCTCTCTCTCTCTCTCTCTCTCTCTCTCTCTCTCTCTCTCTCTCTCTCTCTCTCTTCCCCCCTTAGCGCAGTCCTATCCCTCTCCCACAGTATCGTTCTGTCTTCTCCTATCCGTGTTCCACAGTGCACTTCCTTCTCCGTTCCATTGTGCACTTTCGTCTCCTGCTGTGTCCTGTCCACTGTCTTCCTGCTTCTAGGTTTGCCGTTTGCCACTATTGGCATCGCCGCACTACTCACCAAATCCACAATGGACAGAAAGCACACCATACATGTTTTCTCAGAAAAAAGAAAAAGGCTGCCCAACCAATTCAATTACCTGTCGAATCTGAGCAGGACTTTCAGGCCTTTTTTATTGTCATTATTATAGTATTACGGGGAACCCCGTAACAGCCACATCCGTGCTCAGACGGGGAAAGCCACATCGGGGAGCCCCGTAGCAGCCACAAAGTGCTCAGACGGGGAAAGCCACATCGGGGAGCCCCGTAGCAGCCACAAAGCCACATCCGTGCTCAAGCCTCCAACTAAAGCAGGTGACCAGGAGTCAGCCACCAGCCACCGGGTCCTCCAGTCCTCTCCCCCTCTCCCGGTATGAACATCAGATGTCTCTGCTCATTACACTGCTCGGGGTGACCAACGGCCTACCTCTAAGCTTGCCCATGAAGCTACATGAGGCCAATGGGAATTAAACCCGAGACCTCCTGAATGCCACTTACATGCCTTACCAACTGAGCTACGTCATTGGATACTGATGTGTTCTATTCGAAGTGCATGTTGTGATGTTCAACCTCACGCCCTGTGCTGTCTTCCAGTCGGAGTGATAAAAATATGTGGAATAGGCCCTGAAAAAGCAGTGAAATGAGGTGTGCCAAGGAGTTTTGGGAACTGAGTGTGGGGACACAGACAAAACTGAAATCCCTCGTGCGGTTCCGGTTTAGTGAGAAATGCCCATAGTCGTGCTCACTGCTTTCAAACTTGTTTAAACCACCAGTACCTCGCTCAGCTATCAAGTCCGAGCCTCGGCCGACCGGTACGCCGATCCGTGCCGAGGCTCAGACTACCGGGCCCAGGCATCCCGAACGTCCATGTCAGACAGACGAAAAAAACGGGAAGAAAACAAAGAGAAAAAACAAAGAAATAAGAAAAATAAATGGTTCGTTCCCGCTGCCTGCTGTAGGAAGGCTTCCGAAAGGCAAAGCGGGAATGAATCTTCCCACTTTCGCGGGAAGATTCATTCCCGCTTTGCGATTTGA